TACTTTTATTAATATTTGTGTATATATTTAAAATAATATTATTTTTTAATAGGATTATACGGGAAGTTGGTAGACGTTTAGGAATTCCCGTTCATGTATTTGGTCCCGAGACACATATGACAGCTATATGTGCTATGGCACTAGGAACGAAACCAATTCCCGATCCAGAAGCTCAAGAATTTTCAACTGCGAATTTTCTCTTACCTTCCGGACAAGATGTCGGACCACCGTGCACACCGTCCAAGAATAACGTACATTCGTTATCGGAGCAGTCTAATTTGAAAACTACAGATGCAGTAGATTCAAGTAACGACGGTAGACAACTTTTCAGCAATAAAACGAGATCTATTATTTGGGGTATGCAAACAAGAGCGGTCCAGAGTATGCTGGATTTTGATTTTGTTTGTCGAAGATCCGAACCATCCGTCGCTGCTATTGTTTATCCTTTCACTGGTGATCACAAACAAAAGTTTTACTGGGGTCATAAAGAGGTGAGTTTCAAATAAAGAAGAAAATCGAAAACATCTTGGTGATATTAAAAAGCATATTCGTAAATTTTAGCATATTATAATAATTAAATATTGGTAATATTATCACCAAGTTATTATCAAGATAAATATTACTTTTATTTCTTGTAAATAGGTTCTTATTCCTGTTTATAAACAAATGAAAGATGCTATGGCTAAACATAAGGACGCAGACGTAATGATTACGTTTGCCTCTCTAAGATCTGCTTACGAAAGCACCATGGAAACGCTACAATTTCCGCAAATCAGAACGATTGCCATAATTGCGGAAGGTATACCTGAAAATATGACTAGAAAATTGATTCTATCGGCGCAACTGAGGAATGTGACTATAATTGGACCGGCAACTGTGGGAGGTGTAAAGCCAGGTTGTTTTAAAATCGGTAATACCGGCGGAATGATGGATAATATTTTGCACAGCAAATTATATAGACCTGGCAGGTAATATAATTCGGATTTTTAAATGTGATGAGACAGTTAATAAAATCAATCGGCTGATCAACGATAACATTATTTTCAGTGTCGCTTACGTTTCTCGTTCCGGTGGCATGTCAAACGAATTAAATAATATAATCTCCAAAGCTTCTAACGGCGTATTAGAGGGTGTTGCCATCGGTGGAGATCGTTATCCAGGAACTACTTTTATGGATCACATAATGCGTTATCAAAAAAATCCCGATGCGAAACTAATTGTATTGCTCGGAGAAGTCGGTGGTGTCGAAGAATATGAAGTATGCGAAGCATTAAAAACAGACAGAATAACAAAGCCATTGATAGCTTGGTGCATTGGTACCTGCGCCAGTATGTTCAATTCTGAGGTGCAATTTGGTCATGCTGGCTCGATCGCAAACTCCAATCTTGAAACGGCTTCTGCAAAAAATTCAGCATTGAAGGCTGCTGGTGCATATGTCCCAAACAGTTTCGATAATCTTGGTGATCTTATACAAAATGTTTATGAACAATTGGTAAAGGATGGCACAATAGTGCCGGAACCCGAAGTTCCTGTGCCAACAGTACCAATGGATTATGGATGGGCCAGAGTGAGTTTTGTTTATCTATTGATCTGCTGTAGCCTATTTTCACTATTAAGAAGAAAAATCGTAACAGTGATATAAAAGTAATATATATTGTAAATTACATGTCAGCGAAATATAACACAATTGAATATCTTTTTAACAAAAATAGATAAAAAAACGCAAAACATTTCCGCTCGAAATTATTTATAATCTTAATATAATATAATTCATTTGTACATTGTATATAAGATAATCACATTATATACTTGACTATATAGACGTATACATGCGCACCCACTTATATGTACAAATACATATATGTGTATAAGTGCGCGTGCGTGCGTGCAACAAAATAAGCGTTGACTTATTTTTGCATGTAATTGCTATTTATTAACATAATTAAAGACTAAATTATAATATTTTATATTGTACAAACAGGAACTTGGCTTAATACGCAAACCTGCATCATTTATGACATCAATTTGTGATGAACGTGGGCAGGAATTATTATATGCAGGTATGCCTGTAACTGAGGTTCTGAAGCAAAATGTGGGTATCGGTGGCGTTGTCTCACTTTTGTGGTTTCAACGTTGCTTACCTCTAACTTATTGTAAATTTCTTGAAATGTCGCTGATGCTCACGGCTGATCACGGCCCGGCTGTTTCCGGAGCTCACAATACTATCGTCTGTGCACGTGCTGGAAAAGACTTGGTTAGCTCTCTCGTTTCAGGACTTCTGACAATTGTAAGCAAAAAATTAAATCTTAACAAACAATATGTTTTTTCAATACTTCAATTATCCATTAATCCGCAGGGAGACCGTTTCGGTGGTGCCTTAGATGGTGCAGCTCGTATGTTTTCCGAGGCATACGATACCGGTTTACATCCGCAAGAATTTGTAAATAATACACGTAAGAAGGGCGAACTGATCATGGGTATTGGCCATCGTGTTAAGTCAATCAACAATCCAGATATGCGTGTAAAACTTATCAAGGAATTTGTGTTGGAGAATTTTCCGGCAAAACCTTTGGTCGAATATGCTCTAGAAGTTGAAAAAATAACGACCAGCAAAAAGCCTAATTTAATTCTTAATGTGGATGGTATTATTGCTTGTTCTTTCGTCGATATGCTGCGAAACAGTGGTAGTTTTACGAGAGAAGAGGCGCAAGAATATATTGAAATAGGTGCCATAAATAGTTTGTTCGTCCTTGGTCGAAGTATAGGATTCATCGGTATGGTTATACGTATATAAATTTATGTGTCTTAACATGCATTTTATTGTTCACATTACGTAAGGAAACAATATAAGTGTAATCAATTAATTCGACGAACTTTTTTTCCTTTTAGGTCATTACATGGATCAGAAAAGGTTAAAGCAGGGTCTTTACCGCCATCCGTGGGATGATATTTCTTATGTACTACCTGAACAATATAATTAAATCATTAAATAATGCATAATGATATAATATATAACGTTTAATGCCTCATCGTTAATCGCTCAGTCCAAAGACCGTCTTAAAAATAATTACGAGAGAAAAGCATTAATTGTTAATCTGGATCATTGACATTGATTAATTATCAATTGAAAATGATATATATAAGATTGGACTGTGGATCACATTATGCGATAAAAACAGTATCCTTATTTTTAAAAACAAATTGTTAATTTTATTTTGTGACATTGATTAATCACTCATAATTAGACAATTTTAAGATGCACATTGTGAAAAGATATTATATGGCAATATAATTACATAATTATAGTTTTATAATTCAATATAAACAAATAAATTCTTTAAAATGTTTGTCAAACATTCCATTAATGTGCATTTTTGTTCGAGTAGATACTAGACGGTGAAATTGGAGTGTTCAACGACTTATTCAACTAAGTAACTAACATGATTTTAATCGCAACTATTTTAAGTAGAAACATTATTGTACCGCTTATTATTATTGTTAGTTATATAATTATTATAATTAGTTATAATAATAATTATATACTACTAATCATGCACAATTCTAATTATATGGATTATAAAGAAAGTAGTAAATATATATTTATGAATGCTGCTTAAGGTTTTATTTAATATTTCTCTATTACATATTTTACACATTTCGCAACGTGTATAGATATCGAAACAGTATGAATAAAAGAATATAAAAAAAGTAAATCAGAATTTAAATAATCGATTACATAAAAATAGTAAATTTTTGTAAAATGTTGAATGTTTGGTACTGCTTTGTAAATAGTTAGTAATCATTAGTTGATAAGTTCGTTTTGTACATTTATTGTCGCGCGAAACGTCGGCAGATCGCAATCGATAGCTTCGATTGATATGCCTACGCGTGACTCACCAATCGGTGCTGCTATCGCTCACACAGTAAAATATCGTGCGTCCAAATGTTAAAATTTTCTTGTGTTACCAAAATTTGACTATTATTTCAATGTAAAATTAACATACAACAGCTATGTTATTATTTTCGTAACATTTTCATATGTGTTATATTAATGTCAACGTGATAACTTAACACTTTATGTATGTCATTTAGAAATTGAATATTATTTTAAGTTCTTTTAACATAATTATTTCAAAAAATCAACACGCTTTAAAGTTATTTTAACATAAACAAAAGTTAAAATAAATCTTCAAATAATCGTAAACTTTGACATACAAAATAATCAAATTTACTACAATCAAATGTTCAAAACAACATTTCTCTTAAGTTGAAATTAACTATCGTTTATTCAAATATGTTATATCGACATTTTTTACAAGTTATTTTTACATTATACTTAAAGTTAAAAGAACAAATATAAATGTAAAATATAGTGTCAATAAATTAACATTTCTAATTTGTCAACAAGTAACACACAATGAATGAGTTATTTTAACTCAAAATTTAAAGTAGACTTTCTGGGACATTTGAAAAATGTTACGATTAACATTTTATTTTTTACTGTGCATCCGCCGACGGTAGCGATAACGAGGAGCCGATTACTCGCTCGCGACCACGCTTGCAGTATCGCTCCGGAAATCAGTCCTGATAGAGCCACAAGTCCGAGACTCATCTTTTGAGAATACAATTGAGACGGCACTCACACAACCGGAGCTATAGCACGAAAGGCCTGCCTGTTTGCTGTATAGTTTTGCCTGCCTACTTTATTGCTTTGCTGCCTATTGACTGCTTGATTGCTGCTTAATATCGCGGACGCCAAAGATTACCAGGTCTTGCCGAGTGAAATATAAGGTACGTGCCGGGCGATGAATCACCTTTTAATTTGTTTGCTTGCATTTCGCTTTTTCGCGCCTCTACAAGCGAGGGAGAACTCCGATACCCTCCCTCTGGTCCTTCGAGTCATTTCATAGTTTTCTCGCAAACGAGGGGACATAAGACAACCCCTTCTATCGAAAATAATTAGACTACTTGTTGATTTTTTTTCATGATTATTCAACTGATATTTCATTTGTCGAAATCTAGTAAATCTGTTCACTTTTGTAATTTTTACCTCGTCTCAAAATACAGAATCGATTTCCTGGACTAGAATTTAATTTATTATCGGTATCGAAACTTGAAGCAAATGGTTTTAAAGTTGTTTTTCAAAACAGAGAAGAAAAGATACTAAAAAATACTGAAGTTTAAGCAGTAGCTCATCGGGGCCATCAGGTCTACAAGTTGAAAGTCTACAGTCCGACAGGAATTGCAAGTATCGCGCATGTGAAAGAAGATGCTAAAATTTGGCATGAACGTTATGGGCACATCGGATTCAATAATCTGAAAAAGGTTACTGGAATGGTGGACGAAATAGAACTACGAAAGTTGGAAGTGTCGAATGATAAAATCTGTCATACTTGTGTTGAGGGGAAGCAAACTAAGTTACCTCATAATCAAGAGAGGCCAAGAACAAAACGTCCTTTGCTGCTTATCCACAGCGATCTCGTTGGACCTATTACACCCGAGTCACGTGAAGGTAATCGATATATACTCACATTTATCGATGACTATACACACTTTACAGTTGTGTATCTACTTAAAAAGAAAAGTGAGGTCTTTTATTATTTCCAAATCTATGAAGCCATGGTTACTGCGCACTCTTCAACTTAAAGATCAGCAGATTTTGTTGTGACAACGGTCGGGAGTACACTTCGAGAGAAATGATTCAGGCATTCCAGAAGAAAAGGATGTCAGAATGTGCTGGATTGATATAATGTGTCAAAGATAAACTTGATGAGATTAAATAAAACTGAATCTTTATTACAACTGTGATCACTAGTACACAAGTATTTCTTCTGGAAGCGATAAGCAAAAGAGTGTGGCGCGGTGAGTCGCGGTAGTGAATATATAATAACTAGAGCTGAAACATAGCAAATAACTAAGTCGATAATCTACCAATAGAAATAAACCTTTACCCTAGTAACTCTGTCTGAATAAACTTGACATAAGTATAAATTTGAATGTATACGTTATTTCAACAAGGGATTCGTATTGAGTATACTATTCGGTACACGCCTCAACAAAATGGCGTGGCCGAACGAATGAACAGGACAATTCTCGATAAGGCACGGTGCATGATACTTCATTCGCAGCTAAGCAAGAGTTTTTGGGCTGAAGCAGTTTTAAGTGCCATTTATATTATAAATCGTAGTCCCACAGCAGCGTTGGAAGGTGTAGTTCCAGCGGAACTATAATTTGATAAGAAGCCTGATGTAAGGAAATTAAAAGTTTTTAGATGCATTGCGTATATGCATATTCCGAAGGAATTGAATCCCAGAAAGTTTGATCCCCGCTCGAAGAAGTGCATCATGGTAGGATACACAAATAATGGCTATTGCTTGTGGTGCCCAGAGGAGCAACGAATAATTTGCAGTCGGGATGTTATCTTCGACGAAACGAAATTCAAGCACTCTCAATAATTTGTTGAAACAAACGTTCAAGAGGAATTGGAATCTGAACAAGAGGAAGAAGAGTTCGCATTAGCTGTCGAAGAGGATCAAGAGCGAAGCTTGTCGGAAACAGAATCCATTCATACGGAAGAAGAGGAAGAAACTGCGGATAAACTTAAAACTACAGATGAGCAATATCCAGTACCTCGTCGAAGCACTCCTAAATCGAAGAAACCTAATTATCTCCAGGATTACTGTGTTTTGGCCTTACATGCCGAAAGCTATGTTGAAGATATTCCGAATTGCTATGCTGAAATCAACTCTCGTGATGAGAGAGAAATGGCTGAAAGCAGTAAACGAGGAACTAACGGCAATTCAGGAAAATCAGACTTGGAGTCTAACACAACTACCCAGTGGAAGGAAAGCAATCGACAACAAGTGGATATTCAAGATCAAGCGTGATGAAGATGGAAACATCCAGCGATATAAGGCACGACTTGTGGTGAAAGGTTGTCTACAAAAGAAAGGTTTTGACTACGATGAGACGTACGCACTAGTAGCGAAACTAACTACAGTAAGAATACTACTGTTAACTGTCGTTAATGAGGATCTTCATGTGGATCAACTAGATGTCAAAAATGCCTTTCTTCATGGAAAACTTACCGAAGATATATACATAAAGCAACCGGAAGGCTGTGAAGACGGGACATCACGAGTATGCGAGCTTAATAAAACACTATACGGACTCAAGCAATCACCGCGTGCGTGGAATTCTGAATTTAAAAATTATATGAAGAAAATTGGCTTAAAACAGTCAGAATACGATCCATGTTTATTCTACAAAGTAGATGGAGAATTAAGAATTTATCTACTGCTGTATGTTGATGATATCATCATTGCTGGAAACGATCGGAACCGAATAAACAAACTTAAACACTTATTGGAGAAACGTTTTTCTATGAAGAATCTCGGATCACTGAGAAATTTTCTTGGAATCAAAATAGAGAGACACGAGCATGGAATGGAGTCAATCAACATACATTTCAAATCTGCTTAAACGTTTTGGAATGGAAGACAGCAAACCCGCAAAGACGCCAATGGAAGCAAAATCATCAAGTGTCACTACGTCCCAGACGAATGAGACCGAAGACGAAAGAAGACCGTACAGGGAATTAGTTGGCTGTTTTATGTATGTCATGCTGAACACAAGACCAGACATCAGTGCCGCGGTGAACTACCACAGTCGGTTTCAGGAGAATGCAACCACTGAACACTGGAAAGAACTTAAACGTATCCTTCGTTACTTAAAAGGCACTATTAATGTGTTTAAGTTTTCAGAAAAATCAAGGTTCTTTGATCACAGCGTACGCAGATGCTGATTGGGCAGGAACCGTGGATAGGAAATCAACAACAGAGGTTTCCTAATCAAGATCTTCGGTAATCCAGTCTGTTGGGTAACAAAGAAGCAGTCGACGGTTGCTCTGTCGTCTACCGAGGCGGAGTACGTGGCCCTTGCCATGGCATCCACGGAAGTACAGTTTCCGGAAACCAGTTACAATCTATGAAGACAATCAGTCATACATACACTTGTTAAACAAGTGGGAACGCCAAAGACTGAAACATATCTATGTAAAATTTAACTTTATTAGAGACTTGTATACTGATGGCGTTATTAATGTAACATACATTTCTTCTGAACAACAAAAGGCTGACATTTTAACTAAAGGTGTAGTATTAGCCACCCAGATAGCCAAGCATTCCTTGGCATAAATAGGAAATAATGTTCGGCATAAGTTTCCCTTCAGTTGTCATCATATTGCTGTCACCGGGCAATAGTAATTTCAAAAAATAAACAAAACAAGGCAAATGAGCGAACGAGCTCTCATTTGCCTTGTTTTGTTTATTTATCGTTATTGAGAGCGTTATCTTTGTTAATAGTAATTTCGTTTAGAGCAACTTAAAAGCATTAACAGACAATGATTACCTTACGCAAACAAGCGGAAAGCTCGTAGCATACTTATTGCCATAAAAGTTGCCACAATCTGTTGGCAACCGTTTTGGTGGCAATAAAAGTCGGCAATCCAATAGGCAAAATCGGAAGCCGCTTTCCTCAATATTGAAGGCAACTTAGCAGAGCAGTTTTAAGCAAATTGACAGCAACCTGCGGGCAACTTGCTATCTGGGCTATTACT